ACAGTACACACAGTACACACAGTACTCACAGTACACACAGTACCAGAGTACACACAGTACACCAGTACACAGGTACACACAGTACACACAGTACCAGAGTACACACAGTACCAGAGTACACACAGTACAGAGTACACCAGTACTCACAGAGTACACCGAGTACACAGATACACACAGTACACAGAGTACACACAGTACACACATAGTACACACAGTACACACAGTGAACATGTTACTGAAGAGGATTAATCTAAAAAACAGAGTATATATTCAGGATCTAAACATTATGAGATTTATTTTGAAGGCCGGCATTCGGACCGGAAGTGTTTAATTGCGTGCTGCGCAGAGGAAGTGCGCAGAGGAAGTGCGAGAAGAAGAAATAAAATCTTTTTTAATAATAAATAAAAACGTTACAAACGGAGTTTTAACTTAAAGAGACATCAACATTTGGTACTCTCTGATAAACTAACATCATCTTTATTTCTCCATGTTTGTTCCCGCTCTGCTCGCTCACTTCCCCGATGATGACCTTTATTTTGAAGGCCCGGCATTCGGACCGGAAGTGTTTAATTGCGTGGTGTTCGGAGGAAGTGCTTTGATCTTCAGCAGCAGGAGAAGAAGAAGAAGAGACGCTTCCGCAAGAGAGAGGGAGGAAGAGAGAGAGAGAGAGCGAGAGAGAGGCGAGAGAGAGAGGAGCGAGAGTGCGAGAGAGGAGCTCCGGGAGTTACAAGCGGGAGTTTCCGATCAGCGCAGCCGGACAGAGACGCCCCTCCTCGGCCTCAGATCTCACGGTGAGTCGGTGTGTGAGCTCCAGGAAACACAGGCACTCACGGCCTGTTGTTTGCGGGGGCGGTGGCGGGGGGGGGAGAGGAGAGGGGGGGGAGACTGTGTGCGGGGGACATCACGCATCGAGCTGTTTACTACATCTGGATTTTCAAAATAAAAGACAAGCTAGAAGTTGTTGTTTTGTTTTTTTTTTGTTTTTAAATGTTTTAATGTATTCTACTATTTCAAACATGTTCAGACGTTAGTAATAATATCATAATGAGCCATGAGATGTGAGTCCTGCTCAGGTCACTCGGTTGGACTGCTTGATGCTTTTATTTTGGAGGACTGGCCGCATTAACTTCCGGTCCAGTTGCTGTTAGCTTGACGCGGATAACCACCGGATCTCCATTTTAGCTGCGGAGTGATCTACAGTAACAACACCTAATATACAGAGCGGGAGAAATACTCAGGTCTAGTTCTTCAGTAAAGTAGAAGTACTCAGATCTGGTACTTGGAGTAAAAGTAAGAAGTACTCAGATCTGGTACTTGAGTAAAAGTAGAAGTACTCAGATCTGGTACTTGAGTAAAAGTAGAAGTACTCAGATCTGGTACTTGAGTAAAAGTAGAAGTACTCAGATCTGGTACTTGAGTAAAAGTAGAAGTACTCAGGTCTTGTACTTGAGTAAAAGTAGAAGTACTCAGATCTGGTACTTGAGTAAAAGTAGAAGTACTCAGATCTTGTACTTGAGTAAAAGTAGAAGTACTCAGATTGTACTTGAGTAAAAGTAGAAGTACTCGGGTCTTGTACTTGAGTAAAAGTAGAAGTACTCGGGTCTTGTACTTGAGTAAAAGTAGAGTACTCAGATCTTGTACTTGAGTAAAAGTAGAAGTACTCAGATCTTGTACTTGAGTAAAAGTAGAAGTACCAGAGTGTAGGAATACTCTGTTACAGTAAAAAGCATTCAAAATGTTCCTCAAGTGAAAGTAGAAAAGTATTCTCATCAAATATAGTGAAAGTAACAAGTAAAAGTAGTCATTGTGCAGATTGGTCCATTTCAGAATAATATATATGATATGTTTTATAATGATTGATCATGAAAGTGTTCTCAAAGCTGGTAAAGGTGCAGCTAGTTTGAATGACTTTGTATACTGCAGGTGTAACCGGTGTGGTTAAGCGGTCTCTGCGTTGTGTTGATAATGGACGAGACCCGAGCCAGCAGTTGAGACGATCTGTTTAATGACTGACAGATAAAACGATCAGTTTTACATCAGTTCCCCTCAGTGACTCCTCTCACGTGCAACGTTTACAAAAAGGGCCGAGGAAACGGGAGGGACACAATATATAGGGGGGGAAAGTCCTCACAACAATGAACTCCTGAGCACAGCGACCACACTTCAGAGGCTCCGCCCACTGATCTCCGTCCTTGCCAGGTATTTCACATTCAATAAAATGAAGAACACAGAATAAAATAATATAAAACACAGAATTTGTGTGATTATACAATATTAAATAAAATAAACCCCACTGCATATTTACATCTGTTACACAGGGTAGCTTGTGGAACTAAAGTCTGATTTAACACTTGATTATATTTCACATCATTCATCCACATCTGGGTTAGGGTTAGGGTTTTTAATGATTTGTAGATTTAACTTTAAAGCAGCTTAAAGACTGAAGTCAGATCACAGCAGAGACACTTCATGTCTTTAATATGCAGCCAATCAGAGAAGGGTTAACATGCTGTGATCAGAGCTAATCAATAACCCTAATGTCTCTGTTCATGTCTCTCACGGCTGCACAATATGTTTGATCTTTGGTCGGTCAAAAGATGGACCTTTGTTATGCTGTTGATGATGATGATGATGATGATGATGTGATGATGTGATGATGTGATGATGATGATGATGATAGGGCCGCTCGATTATGGCAAAAATCATAATCTCGATTATTTGGGTCAATAATTGATATCACGATTATTAAAAACGATTATCCATATACTTTGAAAACATCCACTTATTGAAAGAAGCAGTGGATGACCCTGAACTTTAAGAATCATTCAACTGAGAAACCGATACTAAAATAAATAAAATAAAAATAAATAATAATAATCGTTTTATTTCGATTATGTTGTTTTCATAATCGTTGCAAGCCAAAATCGTAATTGCGATTAAAATACGATTAATTGAGCAGCCCTAGATGATGATGATGATGATGATGTGATGATGTGTGATGATGATGATTGATGATGATGATGATGTGATGATGATGATGTGATGATGATGATGTGCTGTCTGCTGCTATGCTGTGACTGCGGCTGTGATGGATGATTGCTGCTGTGATGCTGCTGTGCTGCTGATGCTGCTGTGCGCTGCTGTGCTGGTGCTGTCTGCTGCTGTATGCTGCTGCTGCGTGTGCTGTGCTGCTCTGCTGCTGCTGCTGTTGTGTGCTGCTGTGCTGCGCTGCTGCTGCTGCTGCTGTGCTGCTGTGCTGGTGCTGCTGCTGTGCTGCTGCTCTGCTGCTGCTGCTGTGCTGCTGTGCTGCTGTGCTGCTGCTGCTGTGCTGCTGCTGTGCTGCTGCTGTTGCTGCTATGTGTCTGCTGCTGTGCCTGTGCTGCTGCTGTGCTGCCTGCTGCTGCTGTGCTGCTGCTGCTGTGCTGCTGCTGCCTGTGCTGGTGGCATGCCTGCTGCTGTGCTGCCTGGCTGTCGTGCGTGTGCTGCTGCTGCGGCTGTGCTGCCTGCCTGCTAGTGCTGCTGCTGTGCTGCTGCTGCTGTGCTGCCTGCTGACTGTGCCTGCTGCTGCTGTGCGTGCCTACGGTGCTGCGGTGCTGCTGCTGTGCTCTTGTGCTGTGGTGCTGCTTGCTGCTGCTGTGCTGCTGGTGCAGGCTGGTGCTGCTGCTGTGCTGCTGTGCTGCTGCTGCTGTGCTGCTGTGCCTGCAGGCCTGCTGCTGTGCTCTGCGCTGGCCTGCTGCTGTGTTGATGATTATGACTGTGCGTGGCTGATGTGCGGATTGATGCATGTGTTGATGCATGATGTCTTGGTGCCTTGTCAGGCGCTGGCGAGGCCGCGCCACAGCGATCACGTGCCTCTCACGCAGCTCAAACAACCAGCAGCGAGTGGGGGGCTTCCTGTGCGACTGCCTCATCGCCATCGGGGACATCTACTTCAGGGCGCACAAGGCCGTCCTGGCCGCCTGCAGCTCCTACTTCAGGATGATGTTCATCCGGGACCAGCAGGGGGCGGGGCGCCTGGACCTCAGCAACATGCAGATCAGCGCCGAGTGCTTCGACCTCATCCTGCAGCTCATGTACCTCGGCCGCATCGTGGTGGGCAGCTTCGAGTTCGAGGAGCTGAAGGCCTCCATGGCGTACCTGCAGATGTACTACATCCCCGACTCACTGGAGGACCTCCGAGACATCAGGAGCTCCAACCCAACCCCGTCTTCCTTCCGCCCTCCTCGTCCAGTTCCTCTTCTGGCACCACCGCCGGGAAAATGATGTTCGGAGTGCGCATGTACGAGCAGCCACCAGCTGCACAGGAAGTGGAGACCTTACCCAAAGCTGCCAGCAGGCCGGCGGAGGAGGTGGCTAACGCTCCTCTGAAGGTGGCTAACGCTCCTCTGAAGGTGGCTAACGCTCCTCTGAAGGTGGCTAACGCTCCTCTGAAGATGGCTAACGCTCCTCTGAAGATGGCTAACGCTCCTCTGAAGATGGCTAACGCTCCTCTGAAGCTGGCGCCGCCGCTGGGGGACGGAGCAGCCGATCAGCCATGTGACTTGAGGAAGAGGCCCGGCGGCAGGAGTTCGGCTCTCAAAGACCGCCCTCGGTTCGGCCGCACTTACACCTGCGACGACTGTGGCTTTGTCTTCAGCTGCGAGAAACTTCTGATCGAGCACATCCTGACCTGCACCAACCGGAAGGCCTTCAGTCAGCCGAGAGGCAACGTGGAGGGGGAGGCAGAGAGCTCCGCCTCCGAGAGCACTGAGGAACACAGGCTCGTCTGTAAAGGCGAGGACGACTGGTCCGACTCCGCCCTCAGGTCTGTGGCAGCCGGCACCGACGGAGAGCCCAGCTCCACCAGGACGCTCTCTATCAAGACCGAACCGGAGGATGGCGCGTTCCCTGAGATACAGATGGTCCGGGTCGGTGAGCACGCCACCAGAAGCCGTAGATCACGGCTCAGTGACGCGGCACGAAACAACCTGCAGGGTGAGAAAGCAGCCTCCGACTGCGACCCCGAGCCCGGCGTCTCAGGCGAGCCTTATGAAGGCCACATGTCGGGCAGCGAAGAGTCGGGAGTCCCTCCAAAGCTCCGCAAGCTGAAAGACGAGAAGCAGGACGGGGACGGGGCACCCTGTGAGCTCTGCGGCACTCTGTTAACGGGCGAGGACAAGTCCGCCCACTACCTGTCCAACCACATGGGTCACATCTGCGCCTGCGGGAGGTGTGGCCAGGTGCTGATCAAAGGCCGGCAGCTGCAGGAGCACGCAGAGCGCTGCGGCGAGTCCCTGGGCGGAGAGTCGGAGGACGAGGCGTCGCTGCCGGAGGAGCCGCAGGGGATGGAGGTGGAGGCAGCCGACCTGGCCTGCCCTCACTGCGGGAAGCTGTTCCAGAGCGAGGGCCTGGCGCTGGACCACGCCCTGTCCTGCCACGAGCAGGAACAGCTCCGCCCCGTGCTGCTGGAGGAGGGCGAACCGGATCACCGCCGCAAACACTTCTGCAGCATCTGCGGCAAGGGCTTCTTCCAGCGCTGCCACCTGCGGGAGCATTACACCGTGCACACCAAAGAGAAGCAGTTCACCTGCCAGACCTGCGGGAAGCAGTTCCTGCGGGAGCGCCAGCTGCGCCTGCACACCGACATGCACAAAGGCATGGCGCGCTACGTGTGCCCCGTCTGTGACCAGGGCACCTTCCTCAAACACGACCACGTCCGACACATGATCTCCCACCTGTCCGCCGGGGAGACCATCTGCCAGGTGTGCTTCCAGATCTTCCCCGGCGGAGAGCAGCTGGAGAAGCACATGGACGTCCACCTGTACATCTGCGGCGTCTGCGGGGAGAAGTTCCGCCTCCGGAAGGACATGCGCAGCCACTACAACTCCAAGCACACCAAGAGACTATAGGACATGCGCAGCCACTACAACTCCAAGCACACCAAGAGACTATAGATACTCAAGAAGCCATATGTGGGAGAACCAATGAACTCCAACACCAAAAAGAAACTTGCACTTTGAGAGAACCTGAGCAGCTGCAGCCGGTCAGGACTTCCTTGGGTCCCTGGTCCTGAGGAGAGACACTTTAGGAACTGCTGCAGGTCTCTCCACAGCTCGCCCGCCTTACTGGACCTTTACTCCTGATATTTAATACTGGAGCTGCGGTTCTGTCCAAAAGCCCAAAGAGATGAAGCCTCCTCACCGCAGGAGAGCCCTCCATGAAACCAGCTCATCACGTCACGTCTGAAGTGCTGGACTATAAATGTATATGAACCGGTTGTTGGGGGGGGGTTCACCTGATGCTCCGTCAGCATCCTGATCACCATATGAGTCTGTCTGTAGAACCTGGACATGTAGAGACCCCAAAGTGTTCTGATAGAGATGTAGAGTAGGGTCTCCAGCACATAGAGACTGCTGGATGCTAACCTGCAGATGCTGGGACATTAGCACAGTTAGCATATTAGAAATGTCTTGATGTCCTCAACATGTCCGGGTCTCACTGCTGTGGGCGGACTGAGGTCTGGTCCGGGTCCTGCATACGCTCCAGGTCTGACAGGTGTGTCTTCATCAGGTTTTATATGCACACACATCTGGCTGTGTGTGGGACCCCAGGGGGTGAGGGTCTCCGTGTGGACAGAGTCAGGTAACACACTGTGACGATTCGCACCGCGCGAGTTGGTCCGTCATAAACGTATAAAGTCTATCTTTAAAAAGTGTGTTGGTTTATGATCACGTGTGATCATGTGTGTGTGATCACGTGTGTGTGATCACGTGTGTGTGATCACGTGTGATCGTGTGTGTGATCATGTGTGTGATCACGTGTGATCGTGTGTGTGATCATGTGTGTGATCACGTGTGATCATGTGTGTGATCACGTGTGATCACGTGTGTGATCATGTGTGTGTGATCACGTGTGTGTGATCACGTGTGTGTGATCATGTGTGTGATCACGTGTGATCATGTGTGTGATCACGTGTGATCATGTGTGTGATCACGTGTGATCATGTGTGTGATCACGTGTGATCGTGTGTGTGATCACGTGTGATCGTGTGTGTGATCACGTGTGATCGTGTGTGTGATCACGTGTGATCGTGTGTGTGATCATGTGTGTGAAGTGGCCCTAAAGCTGAGAGAGCTTTCAGATTGAGCAACTGATCTAATAACAGAATTCTTCAATCAACCTTTTAATGAAAACTCTTTTTTGTCATTTCCGTTTCCAGGAATCTCAACAGACAATAATTAGATATTAAATATGAATGCCATAAATGATTGCATACATTTAGAGTTTCTAATGTTTCCAGTGAGATAGCTGTCAGTCAGACGTTAGTTAGTTCTCACTAAGAATGCACTTAACCCACTCAGAGGGTTCCTTCTCAAAGAATCAGGAAGTTGTGAAAACAATAACTCTTCTCTCTCAGAGGAATGTGCTCGGGCTTCTTCTTCTTCTTTGTGAAACGCCTCTGTGTCAAATGTCCCTCTTGGGTTGCTGTACGTCCAATAGGAGGACCAACTCTGGACGTGCAGATCAGTCACAGGCAGGTGCACGGTGTCAGTGTCACGCTCTCACAGTGATGCATGCTGGGGGGTTTCAGGCCTCATGTCCTGTGTTCACTTTGAAGTTCTCAATAAACCAAGTCTCTCTCTGTTGGAGGAAATGTGTCTGTTATTTTAGCTGAGGATCATGAGCAGCTTCAGAGTCCTGAGGATCATGAGCAGCTTCAGAGTCCTGAGGATCATGAGCAGCTTCAGAGTCCTGAGGATCATGAGCAGCTTCAGAGTCCTGAGGATCATGAGCAGCTTCAGAGTCCTGAGGATCATGAGCAGCTTCAGAGTCCTGAGGATCATGAGCAGCTTCAGAGTCCTGAGGATCATGAGCAGCTTCAGATTCCTGAGGATCATGAGCAGCTTCAGAGTCCTGAGGATCATGAGCAGCTTCAGAGTCCTGAGGATCATGAGCAGCTTCAGAGTCCAGAGGATCATGAGCAGCTTCAGAGTCCTGAGGATCATGAGCAGCTTCAGAGTCCTGAGGATCATGAGCAGCTTCAGAGTCCTGAGGATCATGAGCAGCTTCAGAGTCCTGAGGATCATGAGCAGCTTCAGAGTCCTGAGGATCATGAGCAGCTTCAGAGTCCTGAGGATCATGAGCAGCTTCAGAGTCCAGAGTCCTGACGATGACTCGGCGTTTACCGAGAACCTGAAGTGCTCCGAAACCATGAGAGCAAAGATCTGAAGTATTGATTTCATGTGTTTCAATAAACTCTGTGCAAACAGTAAAGTCCACAGGTGTTTACCAAGCAGTGTGTAGACGTGTGTACTCAGATCAGAGGGGGGGCAGTACTCAGATCAGAGGGGGGGCAGTACTTAGATCAGAGGGGGGGCAGTACTCAGATCAGAGCTGGGACAGTACTCAGACCCTGTAGTCAGACCTTGTTCTCAGACCCTGTAGTCAGACCTTGTTCTCAGACCCTGTTCTCAGACCCTGTACTCAGACCCTGTTCTCAGACCCTGTACTCAGACCCTGTTCTCAGACCCTGTTCTCAGACCCTGGACTCAGACCCTGGACTCAGACCCTGTTCTCAGACCCTGTACTCAGACCCTGTACTCAGACCCTGTACTCAGACCCTGTACTCAGACCCTGTACTTCAGAGAGCCGTGATGGCGAGCAGCTGGCTGGTGTTGTTGGCGCTCTGTGCCGCCGTCCGGGCTCAGACCCCCACTAAGGACCATGGAGACGACCTCCTGAACCCGGAGATAACCACAGAAGAAGAGCTGAGGGTCCTGGTGCAGCAGCTGGTGGCCCGGGTGGAGAGCCTGGAGCGAGGTGAGGCGGAGACCCTCTGGAGACCCTCTTTATCTGAGGCTCCACTTTGGGGGTTATCTTCTGGAAGTGAACGCTTTCTAAAAGATGCACATTAGGTTAACGTTGATATAGTTAATAAGAAGTGTGTGATGTCCCCGGTGTATTGTGAACATTAGCATCTGTTAGCACGTGTCTCTAAACCTAGTGGGTTCTGTGCATTGGACTCCTTTGTTTACTCCAGGAACATAATTATAATACACTATCATCAACTAACAAAGCTATCCCTTTGACATCAGGACAGCAGAAAGATCACACATCTTCCTGAGCAGACTGAAGACTCATCTCTTTCCACTCCACTTCGAGCGATAGAATCACTAACAGAGCACTTATATACTAACAGAGCACTTATATACTAACAAAGCACTTATATACTAACAGAGCACTTATATACTAACAAAGCACTTATATACTAACAAAGCACTTATATACTAACAAAGGACTTACTAACAAAGCACTTATATACTAACAGAGCACTTATATACTAACAGA